ATCGGAGCTGTGGGAATGTGGCAAGGATCCGGTGACCTGGTAATTGTTATCGGATATAGGGGATGGCAGTAACGGTAGGCACCCAGACGGCACTGGCAGCCAGGAAACAGCTTAGGAAGTCTATCCAAGATGAAGCCGTGCCGGCGGGGGGCTGCCTCCACCAATTTTACGACGAAGTTCTCCCTCTCTTTTCCCCTATACATATATCATTTGATGTCGACTGTGTTTCTGCAGCAGCAGCAGGACCATGTTAATAACACGAGGAAATAATAATAACCATAATAGTAATGATAACAGAAACCCGACTCCAATCTGTTCCTGTTGCTTTATTTCATCCTTCTGTAGCACACAGCTGACTGGTCATTTCTCGGTCGACCAAAGCAAGCGATTAGCCTTAGGTTGGAAACTGAGTTGAAGAAACGAAACGATGCTCCTTCAATATCAACCCAACTAACTAGAGCCTAAAAGTTAACTTCATTTTTGACGTCGTACTCTACTATGGCGAAAAATCTATGCTTTTCTATTTACTATGAACATCTCATAGCAAAAAATAAGCATCCAAGCACAACATCTGAACGGATGCTTCGTTGGCGACATAGTTCACGCTCTGCATGAACACAGTAGCGTCAGTGGTTTTCATTTTGCGTTGTTCTTTCAATTGACAACATAAAGCACCTTCTTTTCCGGGCACTCTCATCTCTCATACACGAAATTAGTGCAATACTGTACAATAATGTCGGTTCTGATACCTCACCTGAGCGCTGTTCTATTGTGCCATATAGGCAATAACCATAAAGGTAAATGGTACTTGTGTTCAGTCAATGATTCAGCCCACTTGCTCCTTGTCAAAAAATTACGACCTCCGTCTCGCTCGGCTTGCTTTGTTGTGTCTGTATGTTTTTTTTTTTTATATGCTATTCACGTGCTGCTTCTGCTACGTGCTGCTGCTGATGATGGCGGTACGATATGGTTCTGAACATGATAACACATTTGCATTTCTCTCACTCACTTTGGTTCTTCCGTTTGTCGCTGTCGCTGTCGCTGTAATTATCTTTTATAGCAGACCGCCGGCGAGAATCTTCGCAAATTACGAACTATAACAATGCAGCAGTAGACGCAGGCACGAAACGACGCTGAATGGACGAGATCGCTGACAGTCGCTAATCCCGAAAAATCATCCTTACCCGTAAGGCCAACTGTGGCTCGAGTCGTAAGTAAAGGACAAAGGAATGAAGAGCGCTTTACTTTCTATAGCATGTAGTGCACTACTAGTCCAGTGCCGCTACCGTCCGTCGGTCGGTCGGTCGTTTATAGTCGAAGCCGTCATTTCAGCCACCCCAGGTACCGGTATGGTTTTATAAGAGAGGCACAGAGCGTTATACGAGCTGTTGTGTTTAACTGTCCGAGCAACTTTGAAAACTTTGCCCGATAGGCAAAGCTGGATTTACGGCGACGAAGACGATTGCAACAAGAGTAATTGCTACTACGATTACGACTTTTGATGATGTCTCTGCGCTGAGTCGTTCTTAGTGAAATACCTGCCCCAGAAGCGTTTAGATTATTTGATCCGCTGCAGCGAATATCGTTGCTGATACTGTTGGATTACGAAGTCAGAACGTCACGTCGTCAGACCGTTGAATCAGTAAGACGTCAAAACCCAGCTATTTCTATTATACAGTTTGACTTCAACAGTACGGCAGAATACAGGACTGACTTGAAAGTGTGGCGTATTCTGTAGCGCAGACGGCGGTCACAGAGATATGCGTCACGTATGCTATATCATCAGAAACAGCAAAGCAATTGAAGGGCAGGCGCCATCGTCAGTCGAGCTTATTTATTACAAGCTTACTTCGTTGGTGGATGGGTTGCCTACAGGTTGGACGGCTGTTTAAATCTATCGCATCGAAAAGCAAAACAATGACAACATGAAGGAATCCCTATAAGCAACAGTGTACCTTAGCTGTTATCGTTGGTATTATCGTCACAATTTTTGGTGACAATATCAGAAAAAACAGCAGAAGACAACGGACCTACTATCACTCGTAATCATCTGTATCCTCTGCACGCGGGTCACCTATTGACGTACGCACATTCGTTCCTGGAACTATTGTATGACCAGTCATTTTGTGTTAGTGCTGATAGTTAGCGCACTGCTTCGACAGATATAAAAAAAAAAAAAAAAAAAAAGCAAGAATCGAAAAAGTTTTGAGCGGATGCTTGTGGAGAAAAAAAACTTGGTTCGTTGTGTGAGATTGTTGTTACTTGACTACGCGACCACATGAAAGTTACCTAAAAACGTTACTTGAAAGTTTGCAGGGAATCGTTGGGAATCCGTAGCTCAGGTCAACGCGCAGGACTCGAAAGATAGGTGTTATTGTGGACAGATGGCAGGCTCAAAGGGTAGCTAACGAAGCAGCCATCATTCTCTTCGCGGAATTTAATCGTCTAAATCATGAGCCTTAGTGATGATACCTATTGTTTGCTGCAGAAGAAATATAGTGTTGCCAAACGCCTATCGACTATCAAATTGTTGTTGGAACCGATGACTCAACATGAGGCTGAACACATATCCCGTCATCATCGACATGGAGTTACTGCATATACGTTAAACTTGGACGGCGACTTCACTACACGCAGCGTAGGACTGTGTAACTCCGCCACCATCACTTTAACTTTTGTGTGTTGAAATCAGCAGCGGTAACTTACTGCGGCTAAATGCGAACACGCGTTAGCGCCGAGCGAATGCATCGGTAACTGTAACAACGATAATGATAAAAGCGCGTTCTGTTCTATTTAGGTTATATGTGCAGTTAGTTATCAGAGCCGTTGATAGTAGCGTCGCATCGTTTCAGGAACACTTCGTTCCCGGAATACGCGTTGCCGTAGGTAGCCGTCCATGCGGACGACGCCTCGCCCCATTTAAAAAACTGAGTCAAAACAATTTATGATATATTATGTAATAATACTCTCGTAGCAGTGGAAACTGTCCCCACACTCTCTTGTAAGGCCACAGAGCGTGTAGCGGAGCATACAAGCAACGTGGCGCTATTAAAATGACAACAAAATTCAAAACGAGCGGGCTACAAATCAAATGTGTCCTTCTGACGTTACAGCTTGTACAAGCGTAGGTGACGGAGCGCGACCGCGGGGGAGCTGACGCCGATTGTCAGAACGCGACATGTTGACGAACGAAGCGAACATAAACCTTGATACAAACAATAAAAACAACGACAGCAGGCATGATACGGCAACAATACGACTATTCTGAAGGAAAAGAAACGGCTATTTTCCATGGCGATTTGGAACTCGTTGCCTTTTGGTCCGATCGTTTTCTCTCTCTGTTGCTGCTACTAAGTAAACTGTGTAAATGTAAATGTTATTTATCGAAATTTCGAAGCTTTTTGGTACATTTTGCCACGGCTTAAACTTCAATTATGAATAACGACAGACGGCGGCAACGATAGCATTGCAGGAAGAGCACAGCATGTACCACACCTCGAACAGCCCAAAGCAGACTTTGAGCTGAATTAGCCGTCATGAATTGGGCTATGTACTCCTGCTACACTTTCGTAGAGTTCGATGTGACCCCAATGGGCAAGACCACAGAGAGGTGCCTCTGGTAGTGATTAAACGCCACTTTGGTTAGTCTCCATTCCTAATAACGACAACGAGGGCGGCAGCGGCAGTAGAGCCGGACGTTACGCGGAAGCGTCTCCAAACAATCGGGCCGCCGATTTGTGTCCGCTTGTTCGCCTGCCGGGTTCTTCCTACATTTTTCCGCGTTTCAAGATTAAGCTTGCTTAATCGCTAAGTGCAAGTTCTTATGTTTATCTATTCATGTGCTTGGCTCGGTCGATCGACTGGACAAACACCTGGTCGGCTCATGGCCATAGTCTTCAATACAGCCACACACAATACAGTTCAAATGTAGAATCGTTGCGGCTGTTACCTCATACATAGTCGTTTACTTTGTTGGTTGGTAATTCAACAATTTATTTGTCGGTAGTTCACTTCTTGACTCATCCGGGCTGGTGCACCGCTGTGTAGTGACGCTTCGAACAGAACTTCGCCGTGTATCAGATCAGCGACGGATGACCACTTCCCGCCACAATTACGTGTCAACAATTCTGGGCTTTGAACATCTACCATGATCAGCAGTAGTAACAGAAGTAACAGAAGGAATGAAAATCAGCAGATTCAATAGCAAACATAATGTAATTTTTTGCAGTAAAAGAAGCAATCCACGAATGCTTCGCCTTTCTTATGTGACTTCATCTCCGGACGGTGTTTTACTTGGAGTCTCCTTTTATGCAGTTGAAAGAAAAAAACACCTTGACAAACGCTATAAAACTGCACCCTTCCCTTCCCTTAATCGAAGCTGCTTTAGAATCTTACTTCAGTTACTTCTTGCTTTCTGAAACACTTTGCTTGTTTCGCCTCCATAGATATCGATTGGACAGCATGCCGTTGCTACATCTGACATCCTCAACAACAAACATGGTACAAAAGAATATGTTGGAATAAACAAAGGTCTTGAGTAAATGTATGTATATCGGACGGTTTTCATTTAAAACTCATCATACCAAAATGATAGAATGACGGGTTCAATTTTGTTCGAAGCGATGATACTGTAAAATTTAGTTGCTCTTCCAAAGTTATAGGATAAGTACTTGCAATAAGTAGATAACACCCAACGTCCTGCAAATCGATCGGTTCTTCGTCCAGTGCCTTTCTTTAACACAAACATATTTGCATTAGACGCATACAAAATGATCTCCTCATTAGAAGGCGTACTGATAGAAACGCAACGCGTGTGCCATCTCCAAAAGTATAGTGTGTTCCTTCAATGAGTTAAAGTGCTTCAACTTTCGATTCACTGGCACTCCTTCTATGCGATAAGCCAGGTCCAACGAAATATATTAGCCCACCTGAAATTTTGCACGCTTTCTCGTCCGTTCGACTAAATCTTAGCTTAATATTCGATGTAGTATAATACGTACTTGGTCAGGTGTAGAATTCGAGTCTGTGCTGTTGTGTCCAGCGGTGTCTGGCCGACCACCAGGTCCCCCCTGGTGGGGTCCTCCATGGCCGCCATGGCCTCCGTGTCCGCCCATACCTCCTCCATGACCCCCTCCGTGATGTCCCCCGCCGCCTAGGCCGCCTCCATTGGCGCCTCCGCCGTTGTGACTGTCGTCGCCCAGGTCGCCGGGCCCGCTGTCTCGCTCATCAATGACGAGGTCGATTGGCATCTTGCCTTTGAGACAGCTAATATAGCGCTGGCAGAAGTTGTCGCACAGCTCGTGGACCTTTTCCAGTTCCAGCAGGTGGAACCTTAAAACCTGGATAGCCTGCACCATGAGACTGTCGAGTTCAGGGTTGGGCGTGTAATATGGTTTCTCTTGTCGGATCTGCTTAGCGAAGACCGCAATGTCTTCATTAAAGGACTCTGAGGAGCACACGTCGCCGCCTGCGACTCCCGGCTCGCGGGGCGTACATGTGGCCAGCTCACACTTCTCGAAGATTAACGCCAACAGGGGGAACAGCGGGTGTCTGAAACAAAATGAATAGAAAAAACAACGATTAAATACATCAAAAACAATAATCATATGAAATCACGAACAAGCTTGACATGCAAATTATATGTCGATCATAGAAAATACGACTGACTAAGTTAAGTTATACCATTGAAAACGCAGTGTAAATTTTTGATTTGATGCCACACCACTGTACGTTGTTGTACCTGTACCAGCAACTATTCCAATTTTCGCTAATAGTGTCTCCGTATCGAGTTAGTTTTCTCTAATCATTAACCTAATTCCGTTATAGCTGGGTGTCATTTTCAGCTAGAGTACACTAGCATACTCTACTCGTATGCCGAGAAAACTTAGGGTTCGCCGTCCTTCTGCCTAGTTGACTGGTCAGAGCAGAATTTCGAGAGAGTTGGGCTTAACGCGTCAATGAGTCTTGACTTTCTTCGAGTTCTAAACGGCTCAGCACCAATACTGCATAATGGATAGAACTGGACTGCAGTGCTTTTCACCAGTACAACTGCTTAAACCTAAACAGCTTCAAAGGTTCAGCTTTAGCTTGTCGCTAACCTATCTGTGCCTGTACGTATATCAAACTTCACGAAGTTCTTTTTAGTTCGATTCTACGTTGGCTCGAGCGCGAGCCAAATCCGGAGCGTGCATTTGTCAGCTCATTGCAGGGACCAGCCATTGTCGGACTAACTCATATCCGCGTTTTGTGTCATTATAGCCGGATTAAGACCCCGGCGACTACGACGATCTGGTCGATTAATATTATTATTATTCGACATTCGCGCACTTCGGAACACCAGGTAGCACACGCAGGTACTAAGAGTACTAGCTTTCCTGATCCGACTCGGAGGCCACCGGACCGAAGCAGCTGTCTTAGAGCCGCCTAGATCGCTGCTACCGCTGGTCGTGCTAGCTTGATAGACGAACTAACAAATCAATGCTGTTTTCACACCCAGACAAAAACCTTTCTTTCCCTCTGTCTCGTTTTATTTCGTTGTCTGTATATATGCTTAGTTTGTGCTATGTTACCCCGCGTCCGGCTGAAAAGCTTAAAGCTATTTAACCTCACGATGGAATCTAGGCGAGGTGGGAAGAAGAGATGCGTGGAGGGGGAGAGGTGCTGCTAGACAACTTTGTATGACTTAAAAAAGTGGGAATGGACACATTAGGAGTGACAACATCAATGGAATTAGACTACTCACTAAGAAACCCTCGGATGACTGGGACGGTACTAACGGCAAAACCAGGCTTAATGGTCACCCCAGTTCCTCGTTAGTTTAGTATGACAGGCAGCGATACAACACAGAACATCTTTGGTGCACATATGGATTTTCGGTATACGAATTAACCAATACAAAATACAAACACGACTGTTAAAAACTTCAAGGTGCACCATAACACGTCTTCGAGAATCTAGCTGGAGGGCATTTGAACTTCTAAATATCGATTACTAGCCATTTTGGCAAAATTAAGGGCTGGTCCTTCGGTTACTCGGTTAACAATCACTTCTAGTCGAAATTACGTTTTTTCTTTTTCTATTTATTTGCCTAGTTTTTCATTCAATGCCCAGCATTTATTCGTTTTTGGCCTGTTATGTATTCTATTATCGGTAGCGGCACAGGGACTATCTGTGGCTGTTGTAGCAAGACGATGCAGCGAGCGACATCCGACAACGAGACGTCGAGAGCAACCGAGATAGAGCGAGAAAGAGAGAGAGCAAATGAGAAAGAATGGCCGAACATCGCTCGCACACGTGCACACATCCACCTTCCCCTGCACACCTCGAATACGGTGCAACTCTTGCGACACAACGTAGAATAAGCAGGTCTCTGTTTTCTCGCAGGCGCGCTTGTTCCAGCTCAGGGTTTCGCGTCACTGCATCTGGTCGACTCCACTGCTTCTGTAGTTCCCTTCTCATCTTCTTCTATCGCTTCTCTTTTGCTATTCCTCCATATTTCGTTCTCGCGCCGACCGCCTCTCGATGGCCCTGCGTCGAATCCATATTCACGCTGTCGCTAAAAGGGGGAGCGTCTCACACGGAGTTCTATCGCTTTTGCCAGCCCGCGCTCTCTAGGACAGACGACCGAGTAAGCGAACAACGGTGGATCTATCGGTCGTTCGGCCTCGTACAAAACTACACAATAGCTTGCCGCCATCACTCGAATCGGCTCGCTCGATTCGAATCATCGGAGAGAGTCCTGGTTCCAGTGTCCCGATCGACCAGCCGACAGACCTGCACAGGCTATCTGCGCCTACCTTAAGGACAACACATCTGCTCGAGCTCGCTCTAAACTAACCTATTCTAGCTTACTTTACATGACCGGCCAGCCGCGCCAGTCTTAACCGAATCGAGAACGGACCCTGCTGCAAGCAGACCAAAAGCTCAACCAGGACGAGGAACGTGAGGAAAGCAAGATCCCTCGGCGCGGCTGCTGCCGCTGGTCTTCGTCGTCTTCATCGTGTGTCGTTGTCGACATATTTGAGCGTTTTGCGACTGCGATCAGAAAGCGGAGCGTAGAACGAATATAGAACGAAAGCGAAGAGGCAAGAGTAGGACGAAGCGGCCAGGCCGATATGTAGACAATAGGGGTTGTGTGTGAACCGTCGTCATCGTCACAGTATCGCTACTGTCAAACCGCTGCAGTGAAGCGTTCAGGTAGATTCTCGAATAGGATAGTTCCAGTTTTAGCTAAACTACTGAAAGCTACTCGAGGTCTAAACCGTACTGCCTTGTTCACGGTGTTACGATCAGTTCTATCATCATTGTCACACTCAGCCGCATCGTCGGGCGGACAACGACAAGCAGCAAAATGCGATGGTACTGCTTCGTTTAGAGGAGCCGTGTAGCAACTGTAAAATTGTAGACGCAGACGTTGCTGCTGCTATTGGCTATGGAGTTCGTTCTCATGTCCGCTCCGGCAGCCACCTTTGCTCCTCCTCAGCTAATCAAAAGTGACAGCGATACAAAGCGCTCGTCAAGTTTGTCGCTGCGGCCGCTACCGCCGTCGCTTATCCCGACGAGAAGACGAATTCGGTCATCTCTGCCATTGTCACTGTCCATATATATACACATATTCTTTATATAAGCCAGCGACAACTCTAACGCAGCAATCGAATTCGCAGTAACTATGGGGTGATAAGAGGCTACTAGCTAGCTAAGTGAAACAGGCCGACTGCTCCGCTTCTTCCTGCCTGCTCGTCCCTTTTTCAGTTACTCATAGATATATGATGTTGGACCTTTGTTCTATACATTCTATAGACTGACTGATAGGGCAGAGCGGAGACATGTGGAAAGCGACCGCGCGAGTGATTGAAGGAAATCGAATAAACGCTGTAAGGAGATAGTGATCTCATCAAAGCAATCTACGACGCAGAGTTCAGTCGAAAACTGCGCGACCAGCAACGCTGTCCACATCTGCTCTAGCAACAACGCCGGTCTGTGCTTCCTCGTTCACGCTACTGAACAACATATACTAATATATATATCTGTGAGCATCGCCAGGGTCCACTTCTACTATTCGAGCCTATAAATTGCCTCTGTCTTGCCGCCGCGCGGTCCGGCTCTTACAACAGTGTAGCCGCGCGCAGGAAGCGTCGAGAAATTAGTTCTGCACCCCTGAATGACACCAATCCTATATCGCTTATAGACATCTATCGGCCTTTCACTTTGAGTGGTGATCGTAATTGTGCATCTGCGGTACCAAAAACCCCGTCTCAGCTCTTCTCTTTTCTGTTATCTGCTTTGCTGTTGTTCCCTATTCGAGACGATACGCCGGAGAAACGCCACAGCCAGATAGGGTCTCGGCCACTCGGAGAATAAGAGGGCATCCTATTGGCCCCCGTTCACCTCGCCTCTGCCTCCCTGACATCTTTTAGAGTATAAGCATGTGGAATGCATTGTCCTCAGGTCTCTGTTCCGTCCTGCCCCCGCGGCCCTTGTGTATCCTGATTCCATGCTTCATTCGTTTCTCGTCTTGTTCTGTTTGGCCTGTAGTGGCCTGTTGTAGTACTAGCAGTCGCCTAAGGAGACAACTGGACCCCTGCCAATGACGATGATCAGGAACAGCGATGGTGGCGCGGACAAGAAGAGCTCTACTACATTTCTCGTAGCAGAAACGGCCACAACTGGAACCGCTTAGTGTCGCATGGCAAAACGAAGCAGGCAGGCAGGCAGGCACTTAACTGCATAATCCCCATTGGAGCACTCAGACAGCGTCAGCTCCAGCCCTAGCAGTGGCGGCGGCGGCGGCGGCGGCGTCAGGAGTCGGATTTCATATCAGCGAACATGATGTCGGTCATCACCGGAGTAACTAGAGGCTGTAGTCAATACGATCCCTAGGCCATGCCCTACCAGATCGCTACTGCTGTTGGTGTAAAGTGCATTATTGTGATGACGGTTCTTGGTGGCAGATAACCGCGCGAGAAAAAGAAGGACAAAACGATTCAGATCGTTAGCGAGGACCCATTGGAGAGCGACAGACGTAGCCGCCGCCCACACTGCCGATCTCAGTGAAGATGTGACCAAGATCAGGCATACGGATCAAGTCTTAATACTTCCAGACACAGAGACATATCTGTCTACCTGTGATAATCTGCAGTGGACCATAGGAGTCCAGTGGCTCCATTCCCTCTAGATACATAAACGTCGAACCAAACAACAGTCATTGTCAGCTTTGTAATTGCCTTAATACTGTCGGGACTCATTGTGTTACGCGAATGACGCGTCTGTCTGGTTCCTCTCTCCTTTTCGTCTTCGTTGCCATCTCTAGACAAAAAAAAAATAGCTCACAATCTACAGTTGCTAAGAATCACCGAACTTAACTATAGAACATACAATGGGGCCCACAATATGGTTTACATAACCTTCCCCAGCGCGCCGCAGACTTTTTGGATGTCTGTCGTTTTTGTGAGAGAGAAAAAGAGAGGTAGAAAAGCAAGCGACCTAACTCGAGGTGTCAGCTATACGAATCTTCTCTGGGTGTCTACGAAGGCCTGTGATAGGACTCTGAAAACATCACCATCCACAGTGGTTTCATGCTGCACGGCTAGAAAACTCAACTCAGAATAGAATCACTATATATACACATAGATACGTAGGTGGCGTTGTTGCGTTAGTGCGGGGTGCGGGGTGGCATTGGGTTGCATTAGTATACTAGTCAACGGAAATAAACTAAGTCCTCTAGGTGTCCTTCCAATGGACGCTCATTCAGATCATACACGTAGCGAAAGAGGACTCAACAGCATAAATCATTGCGATTATCTTGACACTACCAGACAGACAATAAGTCTTACTCCGCTTTTGACACGCACGTCCTTCGTGCGCTCACTTGGAAACATCATTTATTTAAACCCCTACTGTTTAGATTGTCGGAAGATTCCAAGAGCAAACGATGTCAACGCTCAAAGATCGTACCTAAAGCGACCGTAGTTGTCCTGGATAAATACCTATAGACCTTCCGATACCTTCGTGATGAAATAAATCGTATGATTTTTTTGCAGTGAATAACACGCTCCAGCACTAAGTTAAGAAATAGGACATGTTGATTTGTCGACCGTTCTAAGTATGCAGCAACATTGATAATGGTGATGATGGAACACGTATGTTGTAGATTTTTGTTGAACATTTGCTAGTTTCAGCTCAAGCCTATTATCGCCGCGAGTTTTGCAATCGTAGGCACAATCGTAACCAGCCTCAATGCAGCGACCCATATTATCATCTCCAACGAATACAATTTTCAAACTAGTTTATTCCTTTCTCAAAGCCTAGCACTTACTAACTTCTCGTTAGTACGAGTATGTACTACAGAAATTTCAGTTTAATTACATAACAGATGGCCTAACAATAGCTTAGTTCCATAGCCAGTTAGTTAAAAAATATTGAGACCTTCGAAAAGGTCACATTGTCTACTTACCCGTAGATGGCGTCTTTGTCGCGTTTGTGGACGTCCGGCACAGAGCCCATGGCGGGGGCAGGGTATGCAGGCGCAGGTGACGGCAATCCACCGACACCTACGGGTGCAGGAGAGAGAGCGCCAGATCCTGGTCCGCTCCCCGCCATCAGACCTGATGCTCCTCGCGGGTCTCCGTAGTCCACGGCCCCACCTGCACCATAGTGCGAGATGGAGTCTTCGTACTAAAATAACACCGACACCAACAACAAACACAAAAGCAAAATCCATATTAAACAATGGCGTCATAGATAGTGATGAGCATGATTGTGATGACAGTATGATGACATGTCTGTTTTCCGGTGAATTAATTATGCGAAAATTTAACACTAGATAGACAGTCGTTTTGGTCGTGCTGGTGATTTTGTGCGTGATTGTGGTCCATGTCTAATGTGATATGCGTAGAGATAAAAACTCTGCAAATTTTGCCAGTCAATTACGGATTAGCCATCTTGTTACCCGCTGTTTGACTGATTTTTAAGATAACTACTTGTTTTGCCTCCTAGAAACAACGATGCTAAACGCTGGGATATTCTAGATGTGATGACTTCTGCAGAAGAACCTCGATTCTTTAGTTTCGCCACTCTTGAGCACTCTGTACATCTGATTGGATTCAAAATGGCACTCGTTTACTGCTTTCATCGGGCAGCAAACATACCCGTTTATGTAATTCCCCTAGATCATATTGTTCGCTTCGAAGAGTTGTTTGCCCCGTCCGAAAAGATAATCGGACCGTATCCATATGAACCCTTAACCCATTTCTCCAGCTAGTTCCGTCCAGGTAGTTGATAGGTCCAACGATGCGACAGGCAATCAAGACCTTTTGAGCTTTAGGTTCTAGTTCTCCTTGCATTGAGCTCTCAATCGTTTCTGTGAACGGGAACGCCGTTTAGTGGTACAATTTTGCCCCTGGGCTGCAGTAGCTCAGGCTATTAAGGGCGAATTCATCAATTTCATTCGTCGACCACCTTAGTCCCTCGTTTGTTCGTTCTATCCCGTTTTCTACCTCAATCGATTCGGATCCCAGACCAAACGGACTGGCTTCGATTTGCCTTCAACTGCTCAAATTTGGCTGACTTTTGGGGGTTGCTCTTCGGAATGCTCTATTAACATTCCTCTTTAGTAGTTATCTTTTGCTTCGTGTTCAACAGAGCTTTCGTTGCTTGTGTGCAGCAGCGACTTCTCGATATCTGCCATTTTACCTGGGTCCCCACTGCCTGCCTGCCTGTATGCTCTTGCCCTAAGCCTACGTCGACATGTAGGCATCGTGGCTGAGGAGTCGCAGAGGAGGACCGAGCAATCGGGCTTGTAGCTCTCTCGTCCCGAACAAGCGACCTATCAACAGCGGATTCTTCGGAAGATCTTCGACTTCGAACCTTCTGCAGGCAAACTCACGGTCGATGTTCGTCCGAGTTCGCTCGTGCGTCCGTCCGGCCAACCATCCATTGGTTGATCCGCCGACGTCCGCAACAAGGCGGCCAACCGGCTACACGGTTAACCTCGGATGATGAGAGCTCTTCCTCAGCTATTCCCGAACATACAGGCATATATTATAGCTAGTCAAATGCTGTCGATCCTAATGGAGCGGCTCTGCAGACGTCTAGCCCTCCCTTCTCCCTACCGCCCTCCTCTATCTGTGCTTGTCCTGTAGCTATCACTGCTGAGTCACTAGTCATCTTCCCCGTCAGCCCCTTCCTACTCATCATCCTGATCATCATTGCCATCACTTTGATGTTGTTCTTTTTCTATTCATCGTTGTAGTCGCCATTGTCGACCATCTTCATCATCGTCAACAGCAGCAACAACATCGCTTCCATATCTTCGTTCTCCTTTCCCGTAGCGATCGCCTGTGCCCCGTGTTTTCGCATGCCCTCATCGTCTCTCCGCTGAATTTTTCGCTGCTCTTCAGCCTTTGATTTTTACGTTTTCGTGCTGCTGTTGCCGCTTCTGCCATGGCTGCTTGTGCTGTTATTGCACCAGACCTAAACATCACATCAAGTTGTCTCGTCTGATTGACATATTCTTGACGGGCGGACGTCATGCTGGGCAGCGGGGCCGTCCGTTTTCGTTCGTCCCGCGTCAGCCAAGTTGCCAGCAACGGTGAGCAAGGGGACTAACAAGCGGCAGCAAGCGGAACGCCATAGAAATGTGGAAACTGCCGCCGGAATAGATGTTATTACTGCACATAATCTTGCTTCAATATTCTCTTGCTGCTACACATAGAGGGCGCCAACAACTGGGCAGCGACGGACGGAGCTGGCAGGAATCATGGACGAACCAAGAATCCACCGCTAGGACCGACACTGCAGACGCGCATAACAGCTCGTGTGTACCTTCAATAGGTAACATTGGGATGCCGCGACCGAACCGGCAGCCGAACGGAGTCAAAAAGACTAATATGTTCTCAGGCTTACCTCATTTCGGTTCGCCTGCAAGATATACGTCGTTGTAGTCGATGTTATCATCATCATCATCATTGGGTTCGCAGCTATAAGCTTCGTCATAACAAGTCTTCGCCATTGTCGCTTATAGCATAAAAGAACCCAACGATGGCGTGCCATAGGATGAGGCACGAGTGAAGAACAAACTAGTAAACATCAACGGGACTACATTGGTGTTATCACCAGCAAAATATCGAATTTGCGCATGTTCAGCGTTTGCCTCCTGGGACAGCGGAGACGTTTCGTATTGAAGTCGATGAAAATAGCAAATTTCTTTTTGTAGCATCGCCTCGACCTTTTTTATTGACAAAATCAACGGATACAGAGCGCGTCTTCATGGGTTTACGCCTGCTCACTTTACTTATTGCTCCTTATAAGCCACGATATAGGGAAGAACTCAAAGGCGGATAGAGCGGCAGCAGAACCATCACGCAATTAAATTATAATAAAATCAGTCACTCTTGGTTCGGACGAATGATAATTATGCAGTCTGTTTGTTCGTTTGAAATTATTTTTACTGGTCTTGCTTTGCTCTATTGTGCATCGGCCGATACTAAATGTACACCAAGGGACACGTGAGAATGTGCAGCAGTCGAGAAAATACCTTCGCCGATTACTTGTTAATTATATCGGGTTGTCATAGGTGAAACGATCGGCAACCAAAGAACAAACAGTTGATGAAAAGAAGGAAAACCTTAATAAGATTCATTCAAAGCAACTTCAATTGTTTCATATAGGTGTCGTGTCAACACAAAATACGGCAGCCGGAAGTATGCTAGCGAAATCCGCTAGCACCATTGCGACTACCGTATTTCTACATCAGTCCGTAAAATATTGCTCAGGCTATATATAATGAGGATATAATTATAGCAAATGTCGTGACGGTAACGAGACGTGATGTGTAGCTGCGTATGTACAACACGTTGTGCGTGAGCCTCTTATTGTGGTTGCTCTGACGTGTTCTTAAGGAGAGATATTTCATACCTATTTAAGCCACAAAACTATATCAGTTACGTATGGTAGTAAATGAAGGTAGCTGACATTTAAGTATAAGAAAAATATGTTCTGGGGCTCGTCTTTTACTTTGACATTTGTGTTCCTTCCTTTTTAGAGGTGTCATTGGTAAAATACGGGCATCGAATTGATGGCCATAAATTTCGTAATAAATAAAAAGGCTGTATTTATGGTTTTGATGCCGCGCATGCATCCCGTCAGAACGGCATAATATGGCGGCCATTCTCGCTTTAGGAAGACGGTCTATTTATGAATTGTTTTCTTTTTGCGGCTCCTATGGATTACATTTGAGATTCTGAGATCAATAACCTGCGTTTGCAGCCGACCTTGACCCAAACAAGCCCCACACATAGATCCGTCGCCTTCATAACTTTTGCAGTTCCGAATCCACGAAAAGCAGAGTTGGCCGTCATTTCTAAGACAATTAAAAATTTCAATTGTTGATCAATATCAGAATCCGAAATCAATGAGTTAAGCGTAAAAACCTTCTAGTAATGAGGTTAGACGTCTAGAGATGGGACGCGAGACGTTTGAGCTAGATGTCCCTACTAATCGCATGAGGACGTCTACCTGGCATCACCCTGCAAGACCCACATTTACATCGCTATTGCGATAAGGCTTTTTTCCGGTAACTGCTTCCGACTTCCATATGTATGGGCGCATGCGCATAGAAGACCTCGGTCGGGCGAAATACAGGCAGAGATCAGAAATAGCAGAAGATATTCAAATAATCAAAAACAAGATAAAAGTTTAAAACGGACGAGCTAAAATGGTGCAGAGCAAATAAGTAAAAAATAGCGTAAGGAACGAAACTAAGAGACAAAGACAAGTAGCGGACCGCAGGATCAGGTTAAGAGATATTAAACGATAGAACGGCGTCTGGTGAAAGTCCAGCATTTCTAAGGCCAAAAGTTCCAATGAGTTCGCTTGCTCCATATCATACTTTGTGCCTAAAGATGCCTGCCTATACGTATGTATACATAATTCTAATCCGTGATAGCAATCCAATGATCTATACACGTAAGAGTACTAGTAATTATAATACGTAGAGATCAACTATCGAAAACGCACTCGAAGAAGGAATATAGGAAAAACTTTAAAAAATAAGTGTTGCTCTGTAAACATTTTTATTGCCTTGGGGTAGCATGAGTATGCAGTAAATTTTCTGTAAAACTCCAAAGACATCTTATCAAGTTCTCTCACTTAACAGCAAAAAAAGTTTAAATACAGAAGGAAATGAAGGATATGGCAAAATCACATGTTAAGGATAGATAGGCCAGGCTCATGAATCCCGTTTGCCCGGATTTGTTTCCGTGTAGAATTAGAAAGAAACTGATAAAATGCTCAATCAACATGATACTACGATTATTTCTAAGCCCAAAAAAAATCTGTCTGATAAGCAGCTTTTCGAACGACATTTATTGTACGAGACATGATTTTAAAGTCCAACCTAGATTGGCAGATGTACATTGTGATTTAGCTAGCGATCGTTTCCATCTTCTTCTGTCCGATCCTCATAGTGCTGTGAAGATATTATAGTTCATTTCTAGGCATCAATCACTGCGTAATTACTACTAAGTTTAGTTGAGCGAACTGAGAGAAGGGAATTGGACATCAAGCCATAAGCATAAGATAGTTTTCAGGTACAGGGCTGTGATGATAGTTCATGGATGGCTCGAGCGTAGACTGGTCTGTCCTAATTTATCGCCGACCTTCCATTATTAGAGTAC